GTTTTTTTTTGGGGGGGGGAGGGGTTGTTGGATGTGAAGGTGCTTGGGTTGGTCGATTGGTTGACGAATGAGTAGATAGATGGATGTGTAGGTAAGCTGACTACTTGCGTCATCACAAATCGTAGTGATGCTAAGGGAGACTGATAAAATGAAATTATAGTTAGAAGATTCAAATTAATTCTGTTGGGCTTGATCAACGTGCGAAGGTAAAAGATAAAAATTGAAACCTAACGGAATATTCAGCATATACCTATCAAGTTAGCTCCCTCGCGTTGATTTGCGAAAAATTCCTTGCTTCCATAAGGCACGCCGATCTGAAATATTCAATTAAAAGATTTGTTAAACAACTGATATCGCCAACCCAAAATCCTGGAACCATGTCCACGATTATGAAAAGCCCGACCATGTACTACACAGCAAACACAACCAGAATTTGAGAACACACACAAAAAAACTAGAATACGCTCACTCTCGGTTTGTGCATTCAGTATCAGTGTCACGTACTCACATATAAACGAAGGAGGGAGCGTGGCCCAGTGGTTTACGGCGCTGGTGTTGTAATCCGGAGGTCCCTGGCTCAAGGCCTCCACCCTGCCACTAGCGGGATTTGTTTCTCGGTAGTTCCGAGTTCAAATCCTCGGTCACGTTTTGTAAATAGCCAACTGGTCTGCCTCCTGCCAGTTGGGATTTTTAACTATGTTACGTTTATTTGAAATATTTATTTTCTTTGTTTCAGTGGCATGCCTGTAAACTAGCTAAGCTTAGTGCTTTTATAGCTAAGTACATGACCACCATGCTCGTGTCATGTTGATTAATTCACCTTCACATTTCATTACGGAGCTTAAAATTTACCATCTTTATTAACTTATCACTACTCACGATGACTTCGATAGCATTGATCCTAGCAGTACGCAGGACACCTGTCATACATAAACTCAGTTAAATGACCTTGCTCTCCATGAGTTCTCGTAGCTCAGTGGATAGAGCGCCCGGCCGGTGTTCGGGAGGTCATGGGTTTCGATTCCTGTCGGGGACTCAGAATTTTTCTTTGTCCCATGCTCGTGTCATGTTGATTAATTCACCTTCACAAGATTTACATTTTACATTTTTTTTTTACCTGCAGTTTGCCAACATTGGATCTGAGCGCGCATTGTTTTCTTCATCTTATTTATTAATTCATGTTTGCTCTTGTGATTTGTCAATTAAGCGGCCATATTCTATTGAATGGCCAGCAAAAATTTGGACTGTTTTTGTCATTATAATGTCTCGTGATTTATCATCAACCTTTCTCAACGTTCCGACTGACAAACAAAAGTGTAAAACGTTTCGATTCCTTAAAATATTAACGTACGTAGCACATTTAAAGCCGTTCGGTGTGACTTGAAAGGACAGATACACAGTAGAGATATAATAAGTATCTTGCTAGTCTCGTCTTCTCGGTCCATATAGTAGTTACAGATTTTCGTTTTCTAGTTTGAATTTATGGCACAGGCGATAAAATACAGTATGTCAAATTTTGAGCCGAATTAATTGGGCCTTAAAAATTCAAAGCGTCAAGTTAAAACCAGGCTTAAAATGGTTTCATACGTTGTAACCAAATTCCTCATCCAAAGGGCGGAGACCATCAGCTGTGATGACGGAGGCGATCTGGGCAGTAAAGGATGTCGTCAGCAACATTCCAGTAAACATCCAGAGTGAAGCGTAAACTCGCCCCAGGAATGACTTCGGCGTCTTGTCACCATAGCTACCGAAAAAAGTGATGTTTGAGAAGCCGTACCTTTAAAACTTTGGTAACTGTCAGCAATGAATGAACGAACGAAGAACGATCAAACAGATATATGAATAAATGAATGAAGGAATGAAGGAAGGAAGGGAGTAAGAGATTGAAGGAATAAATCAACTAAAAGTACAGTACAAACAATGAGCAATTATATGATTGATTGATTAAACAAAAGTTTGGAGTGAATAAATCAGTGGATGAACGAATGGAGTAATAAACAGGCGAATGGATGAATCAACGAAAAGAACAAACAATGGAACGAATCTATGATTGACTGATTGATTGATTGATCACAATATGGGCTCGGGGCTAATAAATGAATGAATTAACGAACAATTGAATTATGAATTAAATTGAATGATGAATTAGATGAGGTATTTACCTCATCATCTCAAGTTAGTTTAATGGGTGAGATCAGTTGACTTTTGAGTCCACGTGGTTTGAGCATCTCTCTTTATAACGTAAACGGCACATTCTCCTGTTCAGATGAGTGATGCTGATGTACCGTTAAAACTCATAACTAAACGACCTTAAAGAAATAAACGCGGGTAGAAAAGGAACTCATGTTTTGAACCCGATATACAAATGTACTCCGTCGCTCGAAAAAAAACCTGCTTTTAGTTTTCCCCTTTTTGGCATGTTACTAATGGTTTCAGTAAAATGTGACGAACAATAATAACAAAGAAGACGCGTGTAGGCGTCGTACGCGTAAATCCATAGTGTCGTTACATCAATTTCAATGTCGCTTTTCTTGTATTTTGATTAATGGATAAACTCTGCTGAAACAGGTCAGAAAGCTGTCAAAACTTAAGATGTCAAACCTAAACAAATGATCAAAAATTTAATCTAATGGAAACGATGACCTCTCGCATAAATTGCACAATTTAGACAGTTTGCAGGGCATCATTTTCTGTTGTTTGCGAATTAAAGTAACGCTATTATCGCTCCCGGAAGACAGAACGGGGAAAAAAAAATGCCTTATCCATGGGCGTGCGTTAGATACGAGTGATAAATAACCAACGAGGCGAGGAGATAGTAATTGTGCTACTCCCTGTTTTTCTGTTTTAATGTTGCGTCAAACCATCGCGATTGGCATAAATGTTTTTTACAACGGTTTTATGAACAAGCAGCCCAAAATTTGTGACACGCTGTTCATTATAAGATTTTTTAAATGACAGGGGCGTAGCCAGGATTTTTAAAGGGGGGGAGGTCACACTGTGCCAAAGTGAGGGTACTTACGCTCACCTGTTGTAGGTTGATTACTTAAAAAAAGGCTTACAAAAGGGGGCAGTCACGGGCACCCCTAGCCCCCCCTAGCTACGCCCCTGAATGAACACCAGAGGAAAGCAAGTCTTTCTAATGTAATAGTCTCCTCCAGCGATGTCTATATTTTAGTAAGTCACAACTAGACGTTTAAGTCTAGCATGAAGATCTGAAGTGATCGCGGAGTGAAACAAGGATAGTTTGTCGGTTCATTCCGTCAATCGTGCCATGGCTACAGCTTTCGTTCATTCAGTTCTGATAAGACAAACATTTACAAGCATATTCCGTATTTTTTAGTTTCAAACTACGTGTATTAATTAGCAGCTAGTTAATTGTGATATTTTTCCTTCTGTTGCACAACAAATACTCCTTACATTTACCCATTTTCAGTTAGCCATTTCAAATTTCGCAAATAATGTAAATTTTCTAAAAAGGTCTACTTCTTGTGACAAACTAATAAATATCCGAGAACCAATAACAAAGCTAGAAATTCAATAACAGATGGTTTTAATTTAATAAGTTAGAGAATTAAATATCGCGTTGGGTTTTTCCCGTTTTTGTCGTCCGCTGTTTACCGCTTGAAATTTCCTTTTGTCAGAGAGCCTGCTTTGACCCCTAACGACAAACGATGTCTTCCTCTCTTCTTATCCTTAAAATCATCGGAATTCTCTTTATGTACATATTCATAACTGAATAGTTTTTTCAGAATAATTAAAGATGTATGTAAATCCTTACCCCACTGTTGTCATGGTAACTATTGCCCACCACAAACCTTCTAGAGTCCCTCGCCAAAATGACTGTGGAAAATTCCCGGAGTTTGCTCTGTGATCCTACAAGAGAGGCACATAATTTTAATGTTACTTCGGTGTGCTAAATGTTCAAACTAACTGTAACCAACCTACCAACTGACCGACTAATTTTGACTGAATAACTGATTAAGTAACTACCTAACTTCCACTAATGCGTTAATTAGATTAACTAAGTTAAATATTTAATTAGAGCTTAATGACCAGTGTAATTATATATTTAGCGAACGCACATCCATAGCTCATCACGCACTAATACACCCATCAAGTGGCGCGTTTGCCAAGCCTGGACCCATTTTAAAAACCCCCTCCCGCTGTTCTTCACGAAGTAAAAAACCTGTCGATTGTCGAGTGCTCATCAGCTGGCAATACCTAAATGCTACAAGATCGATTTTAACCCGCTGGGCAGCAGCTTCGCGTCACCGCACCTACCATTATTTTGCCATGAGAACACCGTTCGTAATGAGAATAGCGATATAAATATAGAAATACGAATGTGACTTACACGATCGAAAGTTGACTCCGTCTGAGTTCTTAGATGGACAAATTAGAACCCTTGGTTTCTCGGCCTTTTGCCCCATTTTGCGTAAAATAATGATAACATAAAGGCTTTTATTAATACTTACCAGAAACCAGATTATGATTCCCGATATTGTAGCCGCCATCAAGGAAAAAACAAACAGCTTCCATATTTGAGCACAAGCGCTTAAAATTTGGCTTGCAGCGTTGGTCGGGTTTTCCTTCGTAGCTAAGTAAGGTCTTGGTAGCACTTTCGGTGGAATTGTGGGATTCTGAGAGATGACCGGGAACGTGATTTTCATCCTTGGCCCATGATCGCAAGGACGTTTGTCCTCCTTAATAGCCTTAAGGCAATTATTTGTGACATTTGCGATTTTACGAACTACATTTTCCCAAACAGACTCTTCACGCTCTAGACCTTCGGGGAAAAACCCAAATGGAAACTTATTATCTTTTATAATCTTAACACAATCGGTTTGATATTGTAAACGTACACCCACTGTGACGCTTAACGTAACAAAGAGACCGAGAAAAACCTTTAGAGCCATTTCCCTACAAAATTATGACTAACTTTTTCCTTCTTCTTGCAATGCTCACTGTGTTTATTTAAGGTAACATCATACAGGAATTAAGTTGAATTAACCAATAGTTTTATCGCTTTTTACGTAGTCCAGTTTGTCAGTAAAACGTATAATGCTGCACTAAATAGTAAATATTATTAACTTGCTATTAGTTAAAAACAGTATCATAGAATAAAAATAGGTATAATAATAAGTGCTTTTATTTATTTATAACCAGATGCTTTTTTATGTTTCTGTGGCAAGCCATGTAAATGCAATGGAGACGATTTTTGACTCGCAGCAGATCAACACAATTGATTGAAATTCATGAATAAAATAAATTTGGGAAGCTGACACTCGTGTCTGTGGTTACATCGGGTAGGAAGCTAGGCTGTTAACGTTCTTAGAAACAACAGCAACACTTCTGGTATTTTGGCACGATGAAGCTAGGGCTTAAAACAGCCGTAGATGTTTTTTGGGCTTAAAGATGTCAAAACTTTCCCGCTGAAACTTAACTACTCGCGCGCACCGCATAAGTTTAACGCCTGAAAGATTACTGTTACTAGATAAATATATTGGGAATTTTGGTCGAATTTGGGTACGATAAATACTGATCTAATCTTACAATTCTGGGTACACTTCGGCGGCATATCATTGACAAGTTTGTTTGGTCTCACCATGGGTACTTTAACTCAACGTCTAGCCAAAATACGAACCATGGTTCGACCTAACACGTTTCATGCGCCGCTGATACCTAATCGTGCCTTTTGATAGCTTCGGGCCGGAGCAGCCAAACTTGGTATGATTAGGTATAATGTCAGAAGGTAAATTTTCTCTTTTCGCGCCATCATTGTGCCAACACCTCGTCCTTGTTCCGTGTTTCTATCGGGTCTTAGTATAATGAATACCGTTTTCTTATTGCCCACAACTCTACTCGCCATCTATATTCTGTTGTAGATAGCCTGGAAGTGTGCAGTTGACAAAATGCAGCTGCTTCTTTGCGTTTTCTAAGTGCCTGCGAAGAGCAGTTTTAAAATAAAGTTTTGAACGACTAATAGATTTATACTATTAGATTATTCATTCCTGATTACCCAACTACCTGAACTACCACGCGATACAAATTTCGAGCTAATAATTTTAAGGACGTATGGTTTTTATTACTCGATCGCTTTGTGACAGGCTGTTTGCTAAACACATTTAATTTATTTGGCACCGGGGCAGAAAATAACATCTGAGAGCACTACTTAAATAAAATGATTGGCAACCGTCGTAAAGAGCTCTTAACTATTGGTTGCTAGAATACAATACTGCTATGATGTAAGCTCCGAATAAAAACAATGATTTAGTCCAAGGAGGAGGAATAAGTAGCGTCAATTGACTTCGGAACAGAAATGTCTTTAAAAACTCTTCTTCGTATTTTTACAGCTTTAAGCGTTGTAGTGAATGGGTATCCACAGAATCAAACCGATTGTGTCACCTTTATAAAGGATAACAAGTTTCCATTCGAGTTTTTATCCGAATCAACTCTGAAACGTAACCAGTCTGATTGGGAAAATATTACTCGTAGCATCACAAAGTTTACAAATTTTTGCTTGCTGAAAAGGAACGTAAGCGGTTGCACAAAGCCAGTGATCAAAATTACTTTCCCAGTAATCTCTCGGAACCCCACAATTCCACTGAAAGTGCTACCCAGACCTTACTTAGCTACGAAGGACACATCGTCGAGCATGGCAAACCAGGTTGCATGTGCGTTGGTTCATATGTGGAAGCTGTTTGTGTTTTGCCTGATAGCAGCTGCGATATCAGGGCTCATGATCTGGTTTCTTGTAAGTATTAAAAGAAGCTGTATATTATTTTTCCACGCGAAGCGAATTCGTAGGCCGAGCGCGCAGGCCTTGAAGAATTTGTCGTCGCTCAAAGATGTTATGAGACCTTATGAAGAATCGATTTTCGTATGAGGTAATGCGTGTAGTTTGTTTGTTGGAAGGTACTCTGGTACATTGTGTCCTACGGGGGCACATTTTTGCAGGGCAAATGGAGAAGGCGTATCAGCTGTTCAGAGAAAAGCGAAAAATCTAGTCTCGCCTCATACTATATAAACTGGAATTTAAAAGGCCCGGCCCGTATCTATCGAACCTTAATGTTTGAAGAAAGAATTTGCTTTGAATGTTCTTTACTATGCGATGCGAACTAACACGAATTGCCGATAGGAAACAAAAAATAACTGGACTTTCTCTTCATTGTCGTTTAAACGTCTGCGCAAACGTATTTACATTCGGGTTCGAATTAATTAAATGATTAATATAGATCGTTTTCAAGCACGTGAGTTCATCATTCCAAAATCCAAAACTAAAAAGCCACGAAAGTTTTTAGCCTCATCAGGCGTGAGAGAATCTAAATTTATATCTGTTTACAACTTTTCAGCTCAATAACGTGCTTGGGTTGGAAACCAGCGCAGTATGAAGTTCAGAGTNTTCATCATACTAATCCCCCAGTAAGTACTATTAAACTTCACGCTCCAGCAAAATCGAAACTATAAACCCAATAAGCAAACTGTTTATGAGATTAATTAAAAAAAAAAATCAAATTTTCTCAGTCTCAAAATAATTTTTTACACAGATTAGTGTCAGGAAAGAAACATCACAACACCACTTCTAAAAATGAACACGCAACCTTGCTTTCCGACTTGAATGTTCCAAATCGTTTCAGAGTTCAACAGCGAGCAAAGTATAGCTCACTGCAGCTCAGGGCAGTCTGTATCACAGGTACTAAGTGTCTTCAACACTATTTCAAATGCATTCGACAATCACCAACCACAGAGGACACAAATTTCCGCTGTCATCAATGCTCCTTTCTTCAAACCACGAATCGAATGAACTCCAATAAGTCGATGTGGACCGCAACCGCAAGTTTTCTGAACGGCTTTTTAACTCCTGCATTATTCAAGACATCGTCCAGGTTTTTTCGGACCACGGGGGTTTGCTTTGATGCCAAAAAATGATTTGACTTTTTCATCATTTTATATAAGATTTGTAGATCTCGCATTTTAATCCTGCCTTCGCTGTAAGTTTTCTACTCCACGACAAGCGACGCTAGATTTAAGTTTGAGAGTGGCGTGATTTCCGTGAACCAATCACAGTTCTTTGCTACGTATAGCAACCAGAGAGTTTTCTGCATTTTGTATAGGCAATGGATTATGCCAAATAAAACAAAGAGATTCCATGTTACAGTGCGTCTGTTCAGTAATAGATGACAGATGACGTCAAAATGTGGTAAGAACATCAGTGACACACTCCGCTATCGCCTCGTGGGCCACTTTTTTGTTCTTACCATCTTACTGTCATTTTGACGTCATCTGAGATCTATTACTGAACAGACGCACTGCAAGATGGAATCTATTTGGTAAATAGAAAACGATGAGAGAATCAATGAAATTCTCAAATTTCCAACAGAACACAGCTGAGTGTCTACTAAAACTTGACAAAAACATGGAAAATGTTTCTATTTCTTAATTTCGTTCTATTGTGGCTTTGATCATAGCGTATGACACAGAAGTTGAACTCCTTCAAGGCCTTCAGGACGACAAAGTGGCCAAAATATGGCTGTTTGACTGCAATGATGAATCTGACCTAAAACTCAGGATAGTTCATGTCTTTCCCGTCAACCCTGTCATCGGAGCGCATGTTGAGCTGGTAGAGTACAGAAGGAACTTACAGAAATACTTCTTTGAGTGTTTGGATCGATGGGCAGAAGAGGAGCATGGAAGTTGCTATGAAGAACAGGTGGCATCGAGGATTTTGAAAAAGGGAGAACTAGAATGTCCAAAATCCGAAAAGGTGATTTTATTTGGTAATGGTTTTGATTCAGTTTTTATCTTGTTAGTTAAAAATACACTCGTGAACCATGTTCTAAACAATTATTGCTAGTTTTAACCGTCAAGATCGTAAAATTAACCGTTTGGGATATGCTTCTTAGCATGGTTTTGATTGGTTGATTTCACGTGTGATCCACTAGTTATGCGTTTGTCGTGATCCCAGATCCAGTCAAAGAATCCAGGCAGTCAAGAAAACAAGCACAAAGAATGGTGCCAATTGACGGAGACCGAGTCATCGTCCCCATCATAGCTAATTAAGTAACATTACGTATCTGGGTTACGTCGGGCTGGCAACACAGTTTTCGCAGCACTGGCAATTTTAAATACATAGTCAATAAGAGTCGGAAACATCATGAGTGATTTAACAAAGATTCCTCAAAAATGTCTCATGCATGTTGCTCAGACTGCACTTGGCGACGATCTTAGTGTTGAGTTTTACCTTATCCAGTTTTAAAGTGTTTAAAGTTCTTAAAGTGTGAGTAACTTGCGAATAAGGATACTGTAATTAAAGTAAAGCCTATCAGAAGTCTTGTATGCTGCCCTGTTTTCCTGCGATATTAAGTCGCTGACTTGCCAGTATTACCGGATTTAAGCCAGCTGGATTTGGGTACGGTAAATACCTAATAGTTCCTACGTAGTTTGGTACTTTTCGGCGGCATAACATAAGGTTCCTTTGGTATAGGGGAGTCCTTGTTTA